GCGGCTCAGCCTGTAATTCCGCTGCAGCTTTATGACATGATCATGAACACTGTCAGTGTCACTATCAGCCTGGGGTTCCCAGGTAAATTTTAATTAGATGTTGCTGATTAGTTTGTTAGTCATAAGTGGCAAATATTATTAATGAGGGGACACGTTCCTATTTTAACTCAACTAAGCGAATTGAATTAATGTACAATTCATCTTGCTGGGCTGCCCCTAAATCAGTGTTGGAAAAACTAGATATTGCTCACAGACGTCATCTGCGATCAATTTTGAATTACAAATACCCTCACATCATTTATCCAACAAGAATTTGTATAAACGCTGCAATAGCGAACCATTTGCATTGTCAGCTAAAGTGGCTCTTAGTCGGTGGAGGATGCTGATCGGACATGTACTGCGTGGGCCTACAGATGGTCCAGCCTATTCGTCGCTTGTTTTTGCTGTTAACACCTTACAGCTTCAAGGGCGGCGTGGAAGACCGCAGTCAAACCTTTTCTCACTGATTTTACAAGACCTTAGTGTTCGAAAATTATCGTTAAATAATTTATGTGATTTGAACTATTTAACGTTAATCGCTCAGAATAGAGTTAAATGGAGAAGTATGCAAATTGCATAACTTTTGTTTTGAGAAAGATTAGGGGACAGAAATGTTTACTTTGTTTACTATCTGTTTTTTAGAGCTTTTGTTTATATATATATAAGCGAAACATTGTACATACAAACTTTTTTAGATTGTGCTAATTATTTATATCATTTTGTACTTGTAGCTACGTAATCAATTTTTGGCAACTCTAAGGTTACGTTATCGGACCTTATTTGAACGGACATGAATTGAACGCTGGAGGCCCTAGTGTTCATTTTAATGTCCGTCCAAATTAAAGTCCGTTGAATTTTATTCAAAAATTATTCCACCGCGAACTTACTAACAGTAACAGTAACTAGGATATGACAACTTTTTAATTCCAGTTAATTAAAATTTCTATCATCGGACTAAGCTAGTATAGCATTGAATAAATGAAAATTGAAAAACAAGTTGTTGTAAAATTTATCTTATCGGACCTTATTTGAACTGACATTATAATAAATTGAACGCTGGAGGCCCTATCGTTTTTTATCCAACTCGTAGCTGTAATGAACGATATCAATTGCTCTACCGGAGATACTAGAATGCCTGTAGTACAACTTGAGCTTTGCCTTTATCTCTTGCCCCCCACTTGGCAAAGGCTACCTTCGGTGGTTCATGTCAACGACGATACCTTTTACCATACCAACCATCTCGATGATATGAGTTTCTCTTTGTAAGACTAGACTAGACTGGCCCCCACGTGCGAGTAAAGCCAGGAGCTGCACAAAGATTTGACGCAGTCATTTTGAGTCAAAAGAATAATTTTAAACAGCATGTTATGAATTAAATCATGATACATATTTTGTGCCGGGTACAATGGTGTGACCGACTTTTGATTCTTCAGCAGTAGAAAAATGACGCAAAGTTAATGTCAGGACAATGATACAACTTTGGTGCAGTCATTTGTCACGCGATGCCGTATCCCATTGAATTGTAAAGGTGATCTTGCCCTAAACAACGCCAGTATGTCCATTATGATAGTGCGTGCAAGCTGAAAAGTGTATTGATCGACTATAAAATCTAAAGTTGCTCTATAATTACTACAGGTACTACAATCGGCTCTTTTGAGGTGCCCAACAGCCTTGATTCTAGGTCGTAAACAGAAAAGGCTGTATTTGTAAAACAATAAATTAGTTATTTATACAACAGTATAAGCGTTTCATATTTAAATACCAGCTAAGGTTGAGTTGAGGTTTCTGGAGCAATAATATTAACCCTTGAAAAGAATTGCACATCAAAGAACTCATCACTAATTTGATCATTGTGATTGATTAAAGGTGGCCAGTTCGCTTTAGCGTTGTGTAATTAAAGCCTATTAAATATAATATATCAGTTTATTGCTGCATTTTCTCCTGCAGTCTATTAGTTATGAAGTATTGAGTATCGATGAATCTTTCAGCACAGTTCTTGAAGCAGTGTTCAGTCTTTTTGTCGAACGATGATGAAAATCTGAAATAAGGTAGCCAGTTTCAGCTATAAGCTTTTATCCGAAAAGAATTGATCTTGAACAAACTCCACACTAAGAATTAAAACTCGATTAACACAACTAGATCTTAATTTATTTACTTATCGCCAGTGGTACACTTTTCAAAACACAGTGTTCCAATCCTCAGGATCCCCTCGGCTTGTTCTTTCCTCTGCATAGCGTACACTTGGATCTGTTGCATCTGCTGCTGTTGCTCTGGTGACATTTCCATGATGCTTTCTACAGGAAATTCAAGTTTAAATGATTTGCCCGGCTTGTGATGGGGATATAACACGTTGGTGGCAACATTTATTGGAAATAAAACAGTGTTCATGGTAATTGTGGGAACCGTTCAATAATCGGAAGACATCAGATATAAATGAGGTAATTATCAATAAGTTAAATGGCCAATGATAACAAAGACAGGTTGATAATGAGTAATTTATCGTGTATTCTATTTCACTCCAATTAAGATCATTGAAGATTTCAGTTAAACAATACTACGAATGCGCGCGTTAAACACGCGTGCAATTTAATTCCGCTAAATGCTGACAGCTTTTTTATTCAACTTTTTATAAATTTATGAAGAAAATGTGCTAGTATTAAAAGGTCCAAATTGATAAATTTTCTCCTTTTCTCAATTATTGCATCCCTATGCAATAATAAAACTAAAGAACTATGGTTTCCGAAATCAATCTCTGTGCATGTAATATAAATAAGGAAACAACTATGCTTCCTGAAGTACGCAAACCCCTTTATTTATAGAACTTGAAACTATATCCAATTAAATACTATTCTAGCCTTTTAAAAATCTATTAATACAGACCCACACGTGACCAAGTGTGAGAAAGCTGCCCTATCTACGGAAAGGTAAATTCTAATGGTCTTTGCTCGGAATATAAAGATCGTGCTTACTGAAGCTACTTTTGAGTCGTTTAAAGTTAGTTTGTCCAAGTTTCTTGCTTTGATACCGGACAACCCTCCGATTTCCGGTTATAGTTGCAGCTGGTCCAATTCCCTGGTAGACTACTCGCCATCGAGGAGGTCAGATATCTGATGACCCCTCCTGCTACGAGGATGAACTATACCAAAATAACCAAATATGCGGTTTAAACAGCGCAAAACATGCCGTGTTCATGGCCCTTCTTTGAATTTTGAGGTCCTAGAATTTCCCTTGTAGACTTCAAAATTAGGAAGTGAATACTCAAGCAGTAACAATAGATACCCTTTTATCACCAAAATGGGCAATTAAGGATTATCCCTATAATAGTATGATTAAGCCGCTGCATCATGCAAAACATTATTCATTTAGATATTTAAATTCTGAGAAGTAAGCTTTAATACAATATCATAAAAGGAATTCACAAGAAAAGTTGAATATATCGTATAAAGTAAAATTTAAGCTTTCAATAAACCAAACCCTCATTCATCATAATATGTTAAATCAATCAATGAGAATTGAGAACTTACATTGCAGACAATTTCACATAAACTGGTATCGCGTTAGGTGATACGTAAAATATAACACAAGAAAGTCCTTCAATAGATTATAAACGAATACAACATATTTAGAACAGCGTATAGATTCCTCGTGGGGCATTCCCAACAATATCAGCGCTTTGCTCCAAAGCGGTGCAGAACTCATCTGAAAATAGATACATCACTTCATCGATATAAGATGAAAACTACACTCAACATTTACTACGGTCAACGATAAAACATACATAACCACGTATCCACATGTACGCACATTGAGTTAGATTCATGTATATTGTATAATATGTATATTATAGTGGCTGTTCAATTGCAGCAACAGCTGAACGAGCATTACTTTCCTGACAAAGTCTACAAAAACTTCAAATCCTGGACCAGCTCAGCCTCAACCAATAGAAATTTGTCCAGATAAGGTGTTCAATGTACATATTATATTGTAGTAGTAAAAAATCCGGATTAGAATATTATTTATGAGTTGCATAGTTGAAATGTTTTCTTGGGTAAATTTCTATTGATCCCGTTTGATGCGACAAGGAAAAGGCTCTTATCAGGAAAGATCTGAAGTTTAGTGTTTCACTTACCTTTCTAAATAGATAACTTTGGGAGTGCATGTAAGAGAGTAGCGCTATCTGTACGCACAAATACGGGTACATCAATCCAACCTGGACAAAATAGAAAACTTTTAATAATGTGTTAAGTTACAAAGTTGATAACAAGGATAACTTAAACCTCAACAACTTCATTTCAAAGCTCCGGATATACATTACATACAGTATTAAATCCAATATACATACGTCTTGATCGAGGTAGTGGAAGTGTTGTAGTGCTAAAAGAGTGAGCGCCAGAGCGACAAATAGCGCTATCCTTAAACCACTGTTAGCGGGTTCTATCACAACATAATCTCCAGTTTCACCACCTCCCAGTAGTTTTGATAACTCTGACCAATGGTTAATGTGAGTGGGTAAGAAAAAAAAGCAAAATAGGACGGAGATATTATTGGAATTAATATATTTTTTAAAAGACTAAGATCTGTAGATTTATTGAGAAATTGAGAAATAGATTGATAAAAGTGCGTGCTGAAACCTACTATCTTCATCTTCATCACTGTCATGTAAGCGGTGCTGGTTGTACTCTCCCTTAACTTTACTCATCCTGTCGTTCTTGTTGTCGAGTATGCGCTGCTTGCGCGCTGCTCGCTGCGCTTCTCTTACTTCTGATGGAGTGCTCATCGTGGTATGATAGGTATTCTGTAACTTTACTGCTGGCTTTTTTACATCCTTCAAATTGAAGTTTATTAGGATAATTTAGTGTTAAATTGATGAGTTCATATTTTATGGTTGTGGTGACTGCAACTGCTTACTGCTTACACAATTAGGGGTATCATGAGTTTTGGAAAATAAGTATGATCCCAAATTTATTTCGAATTTTACATGTGGAACGGGATCAAGAAAACATCCAATATTCTGTCAAAACAATTAATATTCTTAATTCACAAAATCACAGTACATCATTTCAAGAATTGATAGAATTTTGTCATGATAATAATCCCGATATTTTACCACAAATAACAGGTAGTTACGACAAAGAATGCGAAGGGGAATTTATCGCTATTTCACGTGAGATCATTACGATCTAACTTATCAAAATATAACAAAAAAGATTAAAAGCCTAACATAACACGAAATAAGCAACACTTTTGATCAAATGGCGACTAATAATAATATAACTCGTCCAAATTGCAACCTTATCGAACGAAACGCAAGAGAAAGTGAAGATAGGAAATGCTAATTACGATAAATTGTCATGTTCAATATCTACATATGGAGCCAATCTTTGAATGCATGTGATTTGGATATAATACAACATAAGATTAAATGTCAGCACACTAAAAAGTGGCATCAAATTAGCGCTGTAAGACCCTCGAAGCGTATTTTCCAATGAATATACAAAAAAAACTATTGAATTGCATATAAAAACACTGAACAGCTGTAATTCAAAATAAAGTATCGTAGAAAGAGTTTATTAACGAATTGTTGCAACAGTGGTCCACTGTGTGTTGCGTATTTTACTTCTGTTGGAAGTGATTTATATTCCCTTGCGGTCCACCATAACACGGATAACACAGCCTACACCTCCTTTCTTTACTGCCTGAAAAAAATACCTTTCGTCAGAAACCAAATTAAATTTCAGCTATTTTTATAAATTTTTCTTCAGTAAGGAAATTTTCTTAGGTTGGTTGGAGCTATGGAATTCAACCTCAAGTGATGGAATTTGAAACTTCGATAAAATACAAACACGGTCATAAAGTTTGGACTTTGGTGATCAGTAGCAAACATATCAGTAGCAAACATATCAGTACTTCAGTAGCAAACATACCAGTAGCAAACATATCAGTAGCAAACATATCAGTAGCAAACATATCAGTAGCAAACATATCAGTAGCAAACATATCAGTAGTAAACATATCAGTAGCAAACATATCAGTAGCAAACATGTCAGTAGAAAACACATAATCATGAACACACCTTCTCATGCCAGAGTAGGAGGGCAGCAGCTTTATCAGGACTATTAGAGAACCCTTTGTACAGGTACTTCATCAACACATCCACATCAGCATCAGACAGCTCCCCTACTGCTGCATCTATTTCCGGGGTACGGAACGCTTTTAGTACTGACAGTACTGTCTCGTAGTTTTGCTCCTGCAATATTATTAACTTTAATAACATTAATTATTAACTTAAAGTTATTGTGTGTTATTCGTGTTACACTTACATTCGAGAGAAACATCACTGTCATGAGAACAGTGTATTGATTCTGAAGAAGAGAAAGTTGTGAAATATCCCCGATGATCGTATTTTCGATCCGCTTCAACATTTGATTATTATATTATGTGGAATGTAAAGTGACATGTGGAATATTATATAATGGAATGTAAAATAATTACTAAATACGAATGATGTCTTACCTTTACAGAGGGGTCCTGGTGGCCAATAGGGGGGTTTTGTAGAGCTAGTTTCAGTGCATCCTTGTTTTTAGTCAGATTCAGCAACTTCTTAACTTCTGCTGCCCTCTCTGTCACCTACAGATGTATTAAGTTTAACACGTGGTGAAAATAAATGTATCAATTATAAAGATTACAACACATTAATCGAATCAAAACATGAATCTACTAACATAATCTAAGAAATGATTCCATCACGATCTTTAAATCTTAAAATATTGAGTGGCAGTGTAGCTTACCTCTTGAAAATATCAAGTGGCAGTGTAGCTTACCTCTTGTGTAGCTTACCTCTTGTGTAGCTTACCTCTTGTGTAGCTTACCTCTTGTGTAGCTTACCTCTTGTGCAGCTTACCTCTTGTGTAGCTTACCTCTTGTGTAGCTTACCTCTTGTGTAGCTTACCTCTTGTGTAGCTTACCTCTTGTGTAGCTTACCTCTAGTCTTGTGTAGCTTACCTCTTGTGTAGCTTACCTCTTGTGTAGCTTACCTCTTGTGTAGCTTACCTCTTGTGTAGCTTATCTCTTATGTAGCTTACCTCTTGTGTAGCTTACCTCTTGTGTAGCTTACCTCTTGTGTAGCTTACCTCTTGTGTAGCTTACCTCTTGTGCAGCTTACCTCTTGTGTAGCTTAACTCTTGTGTCGCTTACCTCTTGTGTAGCTTACCTCTTGTGTAGCTTACCTCTTGAGACCCGGAGATATTTTCGCGGGTATCGTCCTCGTAGTTATCCTCATCGTACGCGTCTACGTCAACCGTACGGAACTGGGTACTGTTAGTTGCTTTGGACATTTTCTATATAGGGGAGTAATGTCACGTGGCCTGGGGAGTAATGTCACGTGTAATGAGGCGTAATGTCACGTGTAATGTCACGTGTAATGGGTGTAATGTCACGTGGAGGCGTTGTAATGTTAGGAATTTGTACTATGTAGATAGTTTAACACGTGGTTTAGAGTAAGATACCGTTAAAAACTCTCATTTTAAGTAACAGTTAAATTGAACGACTATTATTCCTTGTTGATCCATTCGCTAATCTTGAGATCATGGTACAGTTATATACGCAATCTAGTACATAAGCTGCTGTTACAATTGAATAGATTTAAAATTATTATTATTTGTTATGTCACACTTTTTGGTATAATTTATTATGTATCAATATTAGAGTGGCATACAAATTAAACTTTAAAGCATTACTTTTTATAATTATATTTACTCCCGTAGATAAATAACACAATTATTACGGGCATTATGATGGTGACAATAGTAATGAGGCAAACTTCAACAAACCAGAAATAAAGAAACGATTTGAACGATAAACTTGAATTTAAACTTGAATTTAAACGATAAACCTAAACTTTAAGCACAGCGAGCACAATTAGCGAAAAAAGATATTTTAAAACAAAAAGCCCAACATACAATAGCTAAAGGAAACGACACTTGTTTTAAAGGATTAACAATGAAGTAAGAATAAGCCAGCAATTCTCACCATACAACTTTAAGTGAAATATTATAATATATCTACTTGTAGTTTGATAGACATTTTTTGATATACATTATACATGTCGCAATGATAATTTTTTACATTATAATGTAATGTACATGATTTTTCACAAAAATTTCAAAACTTTTAAACATTATTTTAGGCTTCTTATGACCGTTTTACTAACACACAAATAACTTATTAGCTCCAAAATGTCAGTATCAACAGCTACAGTAAGTAACACATATAATATATGTGGGAGATTAAATAACTGATTGATAATTTAAATCAAATAAAAATTCAAGAATAAAGCATAATATGATAAGTCATCGCTCTTCCCATCCCATGTGAGTCTTCCCTAGGGCCTAGTAGTAGCTAGACTCAGAACAAGAGAGTTCATCACACGTGACACGTGACATGTTGATCACACGTGACATGTTGATCACACGTGACATGTTGATCACACGTGACATGTTGATCACACGTGACATGTTCGTCACACGTGACAGGTTCGTCACACGTGACATGTTGATCACGTGCGCGTGACAAAGTGATTCTCACGAACATGTTATCTAACATTTCAACTGGCTTGAGCTTGTTCGTATGTCATGGGCGAGAGCTTCTCTATCAATCCCATCACTGAAAGGAAATTAATCTTGTTAAAGCAAACTGTACTTACTTCTAATTTTTATTAATCGTAATTTTTATTAGCATTATTATGTTGTGAATTATGCAAGTATGTAAGCCTCGTAATTTACACAGCTGAAATTGTGTAAATTACAGTGCCAATAACCAACACTAACACACCGCACTCATTACACATTACACAGTAGTACAAGATCTTACACCGGGAATAAAAACCACCACACTCCGTGCTCTCAATTTCGACCAAAATCAAATGCAAAACTTTATACGGCCACAGTGACTGCTTCCAATATAATCAGATAGCTTGAGTGTGAAGAGCGGACAAGACGGACATGTTGAACAATGTACATTCACTATTCAGTACATTTGTACACTGTTCTAGATCAGTACACAAGCTACAATATCTAGCTACTAGTTCAACACGCACACATACAAGTCAGATGTATATTAAACTACTCCTAATCTACCTGTAATATCTACACGTCGTGTAAATTGTACTTTGTTAGATTAAAATATACTCACTCAGATCGAGTGCACATTCAATGTTCAATGTACAATGTACACGACAAATTCACATATTTTAGATAATACAATGATTATGTGCACAACTTGGTCGTACACGGATTTCAAACTTAACAAATATTTGGACTGTTCTAAACGAATTAGTCGATTACAATTAGAATTTAGACTGGACATAATGAAGCTGACTTACCCTAAATTACTTGTAGTTGTAGTAGTAGTAGTAGTGACTTACCCTTAGTAACGACAGTTACCCTTAGTAACGACAGTTACCCTTAGTAACGACACTTACCCTTAGTAACGAGACTTACCCTTAGTAACGAGACTTACCCTTAGTAACGACACTTACCCTTAGTAACGACACTTACCCTTAGTAACGACACTTACCCTTAGTAACGACACTTACCCTTAGTAACGACACTTACCCTTAGTAACGACACTTACCCTTAGTAACGACACTTACCATACCCTTAGTAACGACACTTACCCTTAGTAACGACACTTACCCTTAGTAACGAGACTTACCCTTAGTAACGACACTTACCCTTAGTAACGACACTTACCATACCCTTAGTAACGACACTTACCCTTAGTAACGACACTTACCCTTAGTAACGACACTTACCCTTAGTAACGACACTTACCCTTAGTAACGACACTTACCCTTAGTAACGACACTTACCCTTAGTAACGACACTTACCCTTAGTAACGACACTTACCCTTAGTAACGACACTTACCCTTAGTAACGACACTTACCCTTAGTAACGACACTTACCCTTAGTAACGACACTTACCCTTAGTAACGACACTTACCCTTAGTAACGACACTTACCCTTAGAAACGACACTTACCCTTAGTAACTACACTTACCCTTAGTAACGACACTTACCCTTAGTAACGACACTTACCCTTAGTAACGACACTTACCCTTAGTAACGACACTTACCCTTAGTAACTACACTTACCCTTAGAAACGACACTTACCCTTAGTAACTACACTTACCCTTAGTAATGACAGTTCTGATGATCCCGGGACAGGCAGGCTTGTATAGCAGCTGATTTATCGCCATCTTCAGCTCAGTGAACGCATTTCTGTTGGAAACATGAGAATGTTTAAACTTACTATTAAAGATGAAGGCAAAAATGCTTCCAAATAAGTTAAACTATTTCTGGGACTGCCTGAAGACTATCTTATCACCCAATTAGTTTTACTGACAAATTCAAAGTACAGATTACCTGACATAAGGGTTACGTCTGCTCATGTACCGTAACATAAGGAACTGGTAGTAAACTAGCGGGGTTAGGATGGATCCACATTGACCTGGGGACGGGTTAATGACGGGTAAATGACGGGTTTATAACTGGTTAATGACGGGTTTATAGCAACTGAGTGTCCTGTCTTACGCGTACGTGTGGTCACAAAATATGATCATTTCTAAAGACTTGATTTGGCAGTTATCAATTGAAAACGATCTAACGTGAAATCTATCAATATCAACGTGTGCGACCTAAAAGTCGTAATGGAAATTAACTGGTACATGACTTCTGAAATATTTGTTTCAATGAAACTTACCAGTAAATATAACTTATAATCAGTAAATACCAGTAACTTACCAGTAAATAGTTGTATAATGACGACTGGCATGACAAATATTTCGGCTGAAGCAACGACCCTGAGCAACTGCTGCTGATTTTCTTTAACTTTGTTCAGCTGTCTTTTCAGTATGTCCCACGTGGGGTTGTGACACTCCTGTGACAGTGTTACAGTTGGTAAGTTAAAAATGTTACAGTGGTAGAATTATTTCACAACAACTTCTATAACAGAAGCATGCATATAAATTATAAAAGTCCATTATCTTTATATTTCAACATTAAGTCTCGCTTGAATGACTTAAATGTACATCTTTGTTGGGTATATTTTAATGTCGAAGCGTTATTTATTATATAAGTATTGCATATATATATATAATATGTATTCTTCAAATCGAAAATGGTAGTGTGAATGACATTATACGATCTTTTTTATGATTCCTCCATAAATCCCGTGCACTGACAAATTAAAGAATAATTATCAAAATCTCCCCTAAACTAATAAGAACTTAGAAAATACCTGTAACATAGCAAGTAAGAAAGCAGTGGCTTGAAGCAAGCAGTACAAAGTAGGTATAACACCGATCACAGTTGTTGTCTTGTGCGCGTAGAAGTTACACGCAAACAGCATGTAGTGCGCGCTATCTTCCAGTACCACGCTTATCATGTACTGCTTTGTGAACTGCACTGGCTGGAGGAAAACAGTGTTTAATTTAAAATATCGCTAATTAAAATTAATTAGAACTGAGTTCAAGATCGAGGGAATCAAATACATAATTGGTTTTTATCATTGATTTTAATGAACTACCAGAGGTATTTGAAACATTTGATAGTATTACATCTGGCAAACTTACCCCCAGCCGCTGACTAAGCCTGATTACTGAAGCCAAACCAAACGCAAACATTAGACGTTGGAAGCAAGCGTACGCGAGCACAGGGTTGAAGAACGATGCAATAGCGAAGGTAAACCCGTTTATCGCAGCAAACGATCTTGCTAAGAACATGATACTGGCTTTCCCGTCCCTCATCATGTGGTTCTGAAAATAATATTTAATATTAAAAACTTGATATAAATTATAATGCTACTATACTTTTATGCAGCAAATGTTTTAAATATTCCTCATAATTATATGTCATGCTGACCTTAGATATTATTACCACAGTTCTGCAACACTATTACAATAAATATTTATTATTGTATTTACAAATACAATAAATTATTACAATAGATACCTTGATGACAGAGAAATCATTTCCTCCTGAAGCGGGCTGCTCGGTTTCCGTTTGTGTTGTTGTCTGTTCGCCCGACATAATACTATTACTATATAATTACATAATACTATTACATAATATATATAATTACATAATACTATTACATATTACATATTACATATTACATAATATATATATACATATTAAATATTACTATATTAAACATTACATAATATATATATTGCATAATACTATGTACTGGATACATTGGGACGTTATAAATTATTCACCAGTTACGCCGTTACGGTATTTGAACTATGCGGTAAATATATTCATCTAAATGAGGATTTAAAAGCCTTGATAGTTAAACTATCAGTTGAATTGTAATATTATATAATATTTTTTAAAGCATTATATATAATATTTAACTTGAATAGTTTAAAAGTTTAAATTATTTTGAAATGTTTCCTATAATCTCGTTTATAAATGTCTTGTTGGATTAAGTAAAACCATTTTTAAAGAAGTATACTTCAAATTATTTGTTGTTGAAAACTATTTAATACAGTAATAAAGATGATTAAAATATAACAAACACATCATGCATGAACCATGATATTATAAGTTTTAAGGGGTATCATACCGATTTGATTATGGAAGTTATCACACAAATCGGTAAATTGATAGAACTTGCAAACAAAATTTCTGAAACATTTTTACCATGTTTACATATTTTCAAAACCGTGCAAAATGTATAAAGTTTTTAATAGAATTTTAATATAAGTTTAACCTATTGCTATCGGTAAATTGATCCAAGAAGTAAGAATTCAAAACAATTTTATGAAATGCTAGTAAAGATGCAACACACCATAATACGATAAACATCTATAGACAGTCTTGAAATTTAAATTTTATAGTATAAAATAAACTATACATAAATACACGGCCACAAATTTCCCTTTTAAAGGTTATGTACCAACGGCAGTGCAAAATAATGATCCTAAAATATCTACAACCTATTTTCAGGCGAAAACAAAGAAATTTTTTTACAAATTGCTACAATATTGATCAAAATAAAACCCAGATAAATTGACTCAGTTTTAAAAGTCAAGACTCTCGTAAAAAAAACTTAATAAGGTACACGTTCACAGACTAAAACACAAACTCACTCTCTTTTCACATAAATAATCCAGGGTTAGCTCTAGACTTCCTGGTACTTTTAACAGCAACGACTGCTTTAGTAGCTGGTAGCTTCCCTCCTCTAGATATAATACCAGACTCACACACAGCCTGGGACAAAGGGTCTGGGAGTTTTGATCCGGCAGCCACCACCAGGTTTCTGTCATCTAGTTTGAGGTGATCTGACGTCTTGCGGTTAGCACCACACACCAAAGTAGAGTGATTGTGGAAATTGTTAATCACAAACTTGGTGGCATTGTTCGTGATCGATATTGTAGCTTGTGGTGGTAACGTGGGCTGCAGGAAATCTACAAAATCTGACTTGCTGAAGCCGGAAATGACATTTGAGGAGAAGCTGTTCATTGAGTTGCTGGTCGGAGCAGATAAGTGATTATCAAACACACAGGCGGGGGGTCGAATGTAAGATTCTACATCACTTGATAACGATTGAGCCACAGAATTAAGAGTGTCAGCTCGACTGCCATGCAGGAGCGCATTATTGCTCTGCAACTGCAATAGTTGGGGTGCTTTGAATAACTCTCTTCTACTTGCATGACTTGCTTCTATCTGTTTCTGAACTTGCTGCACTTCAGGGCCCTTATCACGATGTATTTCCACCTGGTGTATTTCACGCATGTGCATAACGAGATAGTCAATGTTTGGTGAATAGTAAGGGCACATTGTGCAGCATATTGACCCATCCGCCATGTGACACGACCTGTGCAGGTTCAACTGATCTTGATCTTTGAAATCGTAGCTGCATATTTCACAAACGCTCGGTGCTGCCGATGGTGTTGATTCCTCAAGTTGGTTTGCATCCATTTCAACACCGTGCATTAGCATCATGTGACCCTTCATTTCACCCATACTAGGCATGGTGACCTTGCACATTCCACATAGTATACTACCATCTTCCTTGTGCTTGTTCTTGTGGTTTTCTAGTTTTGATGCAGTGGGAAAATTGTACTTACAAATGTCACAAGGAAAAACGTTCTTCTTTTTGCTTGGAGAAGCATCCAATCTCTCTCCATGAATGATCAAGCAATGTTGGACTAAATCGGACATTTTCATTGAAATATGCGGACATTTTGTACACTTTACACTACCATCAAGTCTGTGCTGCTGAAAATGAGTCTCTAAAGCAGTCCTGGAAGATAGCTCATAGTTGCAAGTAGAGCAAGTGAATTTCTGTCGATACGTTCTCACAGGTTTGAGTTTTGCATCAATCACAAACCCATGAAGGGTGACTGTATGGTCTTTCAATTTCTCCATACTTTTGCAAACAAGCCCACAAAATTGACAAATGATGGCTCCATCAGAGGTATGATACGACTTGTGTGCTTCCAGTGATGGGCTATTAGCAAATTGGTAGTTGCAAATTTCACATGTAGACAAAGATGATCTCGATCTCCGGGCTATCCGAGTCTGCATCTGCACTCCATGAACTGTAAATGAGTGTACTTTGTATTCCTCAACGTCTTTCATGACCTGAGGACACACCTCACAGAGCAAAGCCGTCTTCTCTGTGCAACTGGAGATGTTTTGTTAAATCTGTGTCCGTTGAAAACTCCCAAGAACAATCCTTGCACACAAACTTATGACATTTTCGCACATGAGACCGGAGGCCTTCTTTTAATTTTGCTCTAAAATCACAGAATTCACATGGTTCAAAGTGGCCAGGAGCGTGACGAGAGAGATTGTGTTGTCGCAAGTTTTCTCTTGTTTTTGCTGAATAGTCACAAAGTTCACATTTGTGAGGGCGCTCTGTAGAGTGAATATTTATCACGTGACGTGTTATGTGAAACTTGCGATATGACTTGTAAGTGCAGCCAGGATACTCACATACAAATGGCTTTTCGCCCGTATGTAATCGCATATGCCTATTTATATACCACATTGATGTTGCTTTAGCTCCACATAGTTCACAGGAAAATTTTTTCTCTTTGACCCGTCTTTTCCGTGGAACTGAAGGCTTTTTGGGTTTAGGTTCACCAGTTTTCTTTGCCTCCCTTTTCTTCCTTGCCATTTTTTCGCCATGCTTTCTCTTTCTGTGCCGAGTTAAGTAATATTTCTCAGAAGTTGTATAATGACAGCCAGGGTGGGGACAACAAAGGAGCTCCTCTGGGTTACTGTTTATCACTTTCTCACTGTCAGGCACTGAAATGATGAAATTATCAGACCCACTAGTTTGTTGTGTTCACCTCGTTTTCTCAATAACCGTGTAAAAAGAAGTGTGTGAAGTGTGTCATGTTCTACCTTTTAATTACAATTAAGATTCTTAAGATTTCATGAAAAAAAACTATGCAAGCCTGTAAAAATCTGGATAAATTTAACTGTCAACATCCACATCCCTTTAATTTGTTCAAGGTAGGATCTGATTTTCAATTAACGACTCAAACATAAGGAGTTAACCTGCATCCTCAGTTTCTTCAGGTTCGCTTAAGTTATCTGGCACTGAAATAAAGCGTTTATAAGGCTGTCAATAGAGCAAAATTATTTATCAATTACATATCATACATGTACGATATTGACGGTAAGCTTATTATAAACTTTCAGGATATGTTCTAGGGACCATTTAGAAGATTTGATCGAGCCAAAATTTTGAGATAGGCCTTTAAAAATTTTTTATTCAATTTTGAAAATCTTGGACCTCGTTTTTTTACGATTTTTTCAGGTCCAAGATTTTCAAAATTGAATTAAAAATGTTTAAAGGCCTATCTCAAAATTTTGGCTCGATCAAATCTTCTAAATGGTCCCTAGAACATATCCTGAAGGTTTCAGGGTGATTGCTCAAAAAATGTAGGAGAAGATAGATTTTTAGACTCGATTTTCAGAATTTGCGATTGAAAATTGCTCGCGCAATACAATTACACATAAGTATAAGCGCTGACCTTAGACCGGCGATAATTTCGGCTAGGAACAATATTTTTCCATGGGACCAAAAGCAGCTGGTAGACATCATTCCCTTCTACCAGAAACAACTATAAAGTCAATTTCGAGAGAATTTTGATGAGGACCCCCCCCCCCCCCCCCCCCCCCCCCCCCCCCCCCCCCCCGGCCCCCTTAAAGCAAAGACTTATATATTATATGTTTATTGTCAAGAAATCTAGCTTGAATTCGTCCCCCAGCCCCTAATCAGAAAATCCGGATGAAGGTCACATGACCAGGTTCAACAAGCTTTCTGATCAGTTGTTGAGGATCGTCCTATAGGTAAATATTTCTGATAAGCTATAATTAATTTTGGGCAGTATTTATTAAATTTACCCCAGTCAGCATCTTTTTCGTCAGTTCCATTAGTTTGTTCTTCATCAGTGTCAGTTAAAAGGCTCTCAACAATCTCAACATCTCTCTCAATAGTATCTCCATCACTGACCATCGTGGGACGATAAATCTTCTTCTTCCCTTTGTTGCTTGTGAGATTTTTTCTTTTTGATGCTGTTTTAGAAGCTTTAGTCTTAGGGGTTTTGACAGATTTGGTTGACTCTGGCGAATCGACAAGGGAATGTCCATGGTCACTTGAAACGTGTTTATCCAAAAAGTATTTAGATGATGTTGAAAAATTACAGTCGTTTTCAATGCACTTAAAAGAGTTCTTTATGCCATGCTTAGAGGATAGGTGAGAACTCAGCCTCCAAATAGATATACAGGTGAAATTGCAATGTTTGCATTTGTTAGGAAATAACTCTTTCCGTGAATACTTTCTCGTGCCTCCAGCCGAAACTGAAATTATCTATGTTATCTAGAGATCGTCAAGATTCCAAGAAGTCAAAAGATTATACAAAATAGCATCAAGTATGATAATGTAATCTGTATTATACACAACAGAGATACCTTATCAACTCAACTTTTTCTGGACCAAGCTTAAGTATTTATTCTGTACCAAAGATTATATTTTCTTAATCGAGAAAATATAATCTTCCATTTAAATATAATATCTTATATCTATATTACCTCTTGATGAACCATTCACCCCATTAGTTCCATGAGGTGAATAATCATTGTCATTAGAATTATCATTGTACTCTTCATAGGAGGAAGAGGAGGATGGGTTAGCCATGACTTCCCCAATATTTCTGATAGCTTGAAGCTGTTCTCGAATGTAACCAGATTGACTAGTCTCAAACACCAAAGCTTTCATACTTTCCAATTCTTGAGTTAGTTTTGCAATTTGGTCTGCTTTTGCTTTGAACTGCTTCTCGATCAAAGATCCTCTCCTCTTTTGACTAATAGAAATACTTCTTTGAGAAACTTTCTTTCTTATAGCTTCTTTTACACGAGTCTTTGATGCTAACTGTGAAGCTGGTTTCCTTTTAGTAGCCTTTTGGACTAAATCCATGACAACTTTGTCAATAAACTTCCCTCTTTGAACCTGGAATTGGAGAAAGGTGTAAGAAAACCACAACTTCTTTCAAAATGATTCTCCAGCGACAGAAATTATTTAAATATTCATTAAAATAATTTATAAATTCTCACATGTGCAGGAGGCTTGATCTTTCGTGTTGCTGTAGGACGAGCACATTGGCAAGTTTTACAAAGGAAGTCACGGTTGCAATTTTTGACAGAACAGGAGTTGCATAACCATTCCATTGACTAGCTGCTGTAAACAATTTTATAGGTATCAAACATTGCATGAGGACCCTCTGATATAAAGAAGATATGGAAACGTAATCATTTTTAACACATGAATAATACAAATGGCATTATCCTAAAAATTTTCCACACTGCCTCATGGAAGAGGAGACAATGAATCAATGTATTGCCTTAAGTGGTCTTCCAACTAGGATGATTCTTAGACTGCTTTGATCTCAGCTAGACAGAAATATTGAACATGTCCTCACTCCCAAGCTCAAGGATTATCAGTCCCACAAACATGACGAAACATTTCAAAGTTGAACTTTTTCATTCCACATTCCATCATTTTACCGGGGTAAGCACAGCACAGGGCTCTAATGCTCTATCTTATAGTGATCATGACCACAGCCCCTATGAAGATGAAGAAGAATGGATATTTGTGATTGAGGCAGTGGCGTAAATTGGCCCCCATGCCACGAACGTGGGGGCATCACAAATTATGAGCAGGAGGGCGGCACTTAGGTACAATACGCCACTGGATTGATGGCCCTGAAAGAAGATCTAGTATCTTGTGAGGGTACTTTCTTACCTGGTGCCTGGCCCCAGGCTATTATATTCATGTTCATAATTAGAGATTAGGTACTTTCCATCTACATGCATCGAACATAACAAGAAACATTTTAGACCAACCTAATAATCAGTGGCGTAACGAAGGGCCACCCCGCTGTGCAGGGGGGCACCGTCGTAAGGGGGTGCCAAATCGTTGTTTGAATGTGCCGGACAATTTCGAAAAACTTAACTAAAGTACTAGCAAAACTGCGCGTTTTGCTCTAGAAATACACTTTTTTAGAGATTTTACCGGTGTATCCTCTAAAATCACCTAATCTGTTTAATTTTAGGGAGGGGTGCCAAAAGGGGAGGGCCGAGGGGGGGGGCGCCAACAGGGGGGGGGGCGCCAACAGGCAAGGTTACGCCACTGCTAATAATAACCTATAATAGCGGCAATGTTGCTGTTATATACGGGCACAAAGAAGCACTTCTAGCAATTGTGTCCTTTACCCTCCTACATAATTTGAACATTTTTGTGGCTAACTCATTGAACAACATCTGAATTAAAATGTGTCTAGTATTAAAAGATTCAGTAAGAAATTTTTTTTTTTCATGTACGCTGTACACTGTAGTTAGTAAATCAAATCAAACTTTTTCGATCAGCCGCGCGCTGAACCAGTGTTGCACTAGGTAAAAATTGTGTATATTTTGTTCATTTTTGAGTGTAAATTAATTTATTAATTTATCACAAATTATTATATTATAATATAACCACTTATGTGAAATGGTTATTTTGACTTTAAATATTTGAACTAAATATGAATTGATTGTGAGTATAAAATAAATTTGTTTTACTACTGAATTTTTTATATAAAAAGTATTCAAACAATATACACATAATATTATAGAATGACCCTATATAAAATAATATAAAAGAAAATCACATCAATATAAAATGAAAATCACCCTTGGCCTTGTGGCTCCAAGTTCAAATCTAGACTATATATTGTGATAAAATTCTTTCTCGCACCTCTGTCTACGGTTGCCATTATTGGTACAAAATTTTTTATCGCGATAATCGATAATTTTTTCAAAATTATCGCGATAATATCGGTTATCGGCGATAAATTTGGCAATATAATTGAAGTAATATTTGTATGCACTCTGCATACTTGCATTATGCTCCTATGCTATGTTACATCTTGTGCCGATTGCTTTGTTAAAGAATCAATTGCAATATTGCCCTTTTATTTAACAAGCCCATATTTCATAGACAAAATATGTTCTTAAAGATAATTATTGCTTCTAGCAAAAATTTTAAAAAAGTCTGCTGCCTGTTAGCTGCCTGTTAGCTGTGAACAGACCTATCTCCCGTGCAAGGGTATCTTTCCTTGCTACCGTAGTCGAATCGCTGCCCTAATGTAGGTCTGATAATTCTTTTGTCAGCGGGATAGGACTGGAATCTGGCATCTGAAATTGTGGGAGTCGTCTATGAGTCCTGAGGACCAATCGTCGAACTACTTGCGAAGCTCAATCGCTGTTAGTCTCTTTCTGCTTAAACAACCGCTGGAGCAGAGACTTGGAGTTACGTATCAAGGTTGACTTTGTGATCATTCTGTATTCTTGTCCTACATCTTCATCTAGAAAACCGGGGTCTGAGTAGAACTTAACCAGTGATACGAAGTGAAGGTTCTTTCTCTTGGCATATCGTGTACGTAGCTTCGAGAAAATGGCGAGTCTATCTCAGATCTCTTCTAGCTTGGTGTCAATAAACTAAATAATCACTTTTGCTTGAGCAAGCATGCTTCCTCTTTTACACAGAAACTCAGTTACAGTCTTGAACGGTGCGAGAGCTAACTCAGTCTCTTCTACATCCAGTTTTAGATTGCCTAGCTCCAAGTCATCTAAAATTCCGTGCACTGCATCAGTTATCCGGTCATATCTCTCCAACATACTGCACAGCGAGCTCCAACGAGTTTTGTAGTCTCGTTGCAGTGTGAGTTCCTTTCCGTGCTTCAACAAACAACAATAACTACCATACAACCTCCAAGTTACCTACCTTGATAATGATTATTTTTACCTTAGTTTTCCGCCCTCTCCTAACTATGTAAACACAGAGAAAGCTTTTAGTCACTGTGCAGTTAAAGTTTTTAATTCCTTGCCATACGACATAATATCAGCTGAGTCAGTTATATCTTTCAAGACCAAACTTAAAACATACTTCTTTTCTCTAGCATTTGATTGATTTTGCATTTACATATGTAAAATGAACTTGTCATGTCTAATTTTCAATTAAACTAAGCTCAGTTAATGTGAGAGCCGCTTTAGAAAGCACTGGAGTTTATCTCCAGGATTAAATTATATCGAGTTATATGATTTAGCTATAAGGCGGTTAATAAATGTTGTGTTTATTATTTATTTATTTATACTAGATGTGGAAAAAAACCATCACACTGCAAATTATGCTAGCACTGGGTTTTAACTTTATAAACAAAGAAATAGATTCGAAAAATATGTTAAATGTTGGCCATTTTAACCTAATTTTGATTATCGCGATAATTCTCGAAAATTATCGCGATTTGATACATGTTTCGTATCCCCTTCGGCGGCACGCGCGAAAAGTGGCATGCAACGTTTACCTGGGGACCCCAGGCTATTATTTTCATTAACATAGCCTGGCGTAATTGAACGCTCTAAAACGCGCAAATAGGCGCGTTTATGCGATTTTACAATCAAATAACCAGATTTTACAATCTAACTCAGCGCGCGGCTTTTGTAGCGCATACGTCACTTCTTTCTTATTGGTAGTTGGCGTGCACGTGATCTTTTGAGCGGCTGTAATTGGTTCTGAACGATCACGTGAATGCGAGTCACGTGCGCTTTAACATCCAATGAGCATTCGCACTTTTTTTCAGGGCGATGGAGGTTGTAATTCACTCAGCCCGAATAAAGATTCGGCGGAATGACAGGCTGAGCGCAGCCCAGTAAGCAACGTATGTCAAATCGCGATAATCGATAACGATTTTTGGAAAATTGTTGCCGATAATTATCGGCCGATAACAGATAATATCGGTTGGCAGCCCTACCTCTGTCTCTCCGGAGAGAAATCACTGTTATGTACTGGATTGCAGCCAAATACGAAGATTTTTTATTTAGTTCCAATCGACCATTTTAATCATGTTATAAATTTACAAAAATGAAATACTCTATCAATTTTCAAAGAAATAAAAATTACAGCTGGGAACCCCGGCCCAAACTATTATTTTCATAATAATAATATTTGTGAAATACTTGTTGCTGATTCCAAGACCGTCGACGAGTCCAACTTGACGCGCGTTTTAGTAGATTATTAACCAACATTTAAATTTTTCTCAAAAAGATCATGTCATATTTTGGGTGTTATAATACATTTTAATAACATGGAATCGTGTGTTTTCGATTTTTTAAAATTTGATCTTCCATGCGCGGCGCGACCCTTTACAGCTTGCTTGCTAGTCTCTTACAAAAGATTTTTGTTTATAAAAGCAATTAAAAGAATAAATATGGAAGAATGAAAATTAATTGAGCCCAGTGAGTAACAATTTTAATAAAAGCAAAGTTTAAATCGGGTTTTTAATTTTAAAATTTGGAACTGTAATTTTTAATAAATGCGAAATTTAAAAAAAAAAAATCCATTGATATCAATTGCAAAGCAAATTGTATTATCATCAAAAAATCACATTTGATGAAATTTATATTATTTTTGGTGCGCGCCGCGCATTTTTCTTAACATTAATAAAAACCAAGTGCTATCACAAAATTATTGTGTTCTCATAATCAATAATGATAGAGGATACGAAAATAAAACCTTCCAGTTTTTTTAGTCGTATCCAATGAAACAAAAAATGTTCGATCAAACAGAAGTTTGAAATTGAATCTGAAGCCAGTTTTGAGGCGATTGAACTGATCAATAATACTAACTAAATTTTCGTTTCAAATATACATCTTAAGAATTTTTCACCTTTATCGAAAGTTTGTTTGAAAAGGTACAATGGCGGGTTTAGTGATCTGTAATCTGTTTTGGAAAGAATCCAATATGCTGTTAAAATTAACAATAGTCTATGGTAATAAAATCGTAAGCTTCACACTATAATTCGTTCAGTTATATCCAATGAACACTTTGGATCATATCATGAGCGCATCATGTGAAATGTACTTAATCGTAATGGTAAAAAATCTTTCTCTTACTGCTATTCTAATTATGAAGAAGCTTTCGATTTAAGTCAATAATTGGGATAGAGATATTTTTGATGCGGGTGATTTTATTCTACGAAACTTCCTCAAAATAAGGTGTAATCTGCTTCTTCCTCCAAAAATGATGATCCTAGCCAAAGTTGTGGATATTTGAAATTCAGTATTTTAAAGTAATTCTAGTTACCAGTTTGCCCTATGTAGTTACCTTCTTGCTGGATTACAGTTCTCGACATCAGCTATATTAT